CTCGATTTCAAGTCTATCTCGTTGCCGTTCTCTCCTGTCCCGCTCTTGTGCGATGTATCCACCGGTACACCCCGGCCGTCCCAGACGCATTCCGTAGACCTGTTTTCGATTCGCTCCACAGCATCAGCCACCCTGGCATCAAAGCAACCCAGCGTCTGATCACAGCTCGGTATGTTTGGCCTGTCATTTCTAAGAATGTGCACTCTTGGACTCGCTGTTGCCATGAATGTCAGCAGTCCAAAGTAGATCTACACCGGCATACCTCGGCACCACTGTCGAAATTCATGCCGCCTGACGCCCGGTTCGATCACATATCCATATCGACCTCGTCGGACCTCTGCAGCAATCCCAAGGTTTCACGTATCTGCTAACGTGTGTGGATCGTTTCACCCGTTGGCCCGAAGCAATTATAATATGCAATACCACTGCACTGCACTACGCGACTGTACAGCCGATCCGAGTCAACTGCACATGGCGGACAATGGGTGTCCCGTTTTGGCACTCCATCGCCGGTGATCACCACCGACCGTGGCAGACAATTCGAGTCAAGCTTATTCGCTGCATTGTTGAAGCTACTCGGATCCTCCCGCCTACGCACCGCTGCGTATCACCCCCAGAGTAACGGCTTGGTCGAGCGTTTCCACCGCCACATGAAGTCCTCTCTAATGGCACAGGCATCTGGCAGCTGGTCACACAATTATTATTTTCCCCTGGTCATCCTGGTCATGCTCGGCATCCGCGCAGCGTACATCTACAGAGCAGCCGATTTAGACTGCAGTGTAGCCGATCCCCCCGAGCTCACCTACGGCACAACACTGCGTCTTCCTGGTGAAGGCTACGAGCCCAGCTTTTCAACCTCACCCAGCCCGTCTCACTATGTCCAAGCCCTCCGCACATCTCTGCAGGCATTGCGACCCACCACTCCCAGATCCAGCAACCGTTCCGTTTGGGTGTCCGGCGACCTAGCCACAGCCTACTCAAGCTCAACTGATGAGGGGTGAATTCCCGGAAACACTGTGTATTGAGCAGGGAGTGGTGCTTTCTTGCAGGTTTGCCGAGTGGAAGGTTCGATGGACTTCTCGTGTGCTCTGGATGGCAGTCAAGTGAGAATTCAAGTCCGCAAGAAAAGCGCGAGCTCCCACGTAGGGAGCAATACACAGTTCCCCAAGTATCGCCGAAGTCGCACCAACCTGTTCTTCACATAATTGTTAAAATTATGTAATGGAAATACTAGGACAGAGTTCTGCTGGCTCGTGACAGTGCTCAATACGCCAAGGTGCAGAGCGTAGAACACTTGAAAGAAAGAATCAAAAGCGTTTCAGCTGTAACTCTGAGTTTCATGGTATTAACCGATAGCAACTTGACTACAATTTCCCGAATATGTCACTGACAGATATAGGCTGCAGCAAGCTTGGATCATGGCGCGAGTGGATGATACGGGCTGATAGAGTGAAATGCACATACATTGGGTGGTGTGATGTAAACATAGGCGCAAACAGAATATGACACTTTTGGCTCATACGACCACAACCATGGCCTTTCGAGGAAGGCGAGGAGAAAAGCAATGGGATGATTATGAGCAGCACTTCACGGTAACGTGTATGTGACAGCTGGTGGCGAGACTTTCGAAAGGCAGTACGTCTGCACTTGCTGACTAGCTGCGATCTGCGGACCTCTTGTTGGTACTGCCACACTTGTCCGCCTGCAGGATCTCTAGCTTCTCTCTTTCTAGGGCACAGAGGACATGGCAAGGCTACTGTAGGCTGTGTGGTCTGGGCGATAACTGACCGACCAATACTGTGCATGTGCTCGCAATTTCGACGCTTCACGTTCCAGACACAAGTCTTTGATAGTTCCGTGGACTTCTCTCCAGTCGCTCATGTCGTTTGTCAGTGACGTAAGATGGCTGGCGCGTCTCTTCTTGACCGGTGGCTCCGTAAGACCAACATACAAGGTCAATGTCATAACGTAGCGCCTGCGCTCTAGTGAGCGGATTGGCGTTTGGGATGCTAGGGCCGCGTAGCCCTCGGCGCTATTATATTCCGTATTGAGTGACCGATCCTGTCAATGTTCTCATCTTTCCTTTTCCACCTGGACTCTTCCTTGGGTTCACTTTTTCTCTCTAGCTACTCTCTTGTACCTTCTCGCTATTGTTCACTTCTAAAGGTAGCTGGAAAGGAAACCGAAAAACAGTGTGTGGCGAGCAATCACTTTTCTCTTTTCTCGGTTATACCAAGAGTACTCTTGGTGATACTAGTATCTTACACTCTTGGTAGAGTTGATTTATATATTCATGAGGTGGGATATCTCTGGCCATGCAGGACTGCTCATGCATGTACCTACAGTGTACGTTACAACAGCAGCAGCAGTAACGAAGATTCTCGAACGATTCAATACCACGAAAGCATCTGGATCAGACGGCATACCAGCTTACATTTCAAGTTGAAACACCATGCCGCCGAGCTGGCCAATTCCTTAACTTCCATTTTCAACCTGTCATTGTCTAGCGGCAAGGTACCGTCAGCCTACAAACTAGCGTCTGTGTGTCCTTAAGAAAGGCGACCCCTACGGCAGTTCCAACTATCGCCCAGCCTCGCTACTGCCCATTATCTCCAAAGTCTTGGAATCGCTAGTGCTCCATCAGCTTCACGACCATCTGGACATCACACCCGGAGCAATTTCAAATGAACAGTTTGCATACAGGCGGAACCACAGTACTGAGGGCCTTTTAACACTTGCTATCAATAACTGGCAGAGAAGCATGGGTACCGGAGGCTATACGGCCGTACTGCTGCTCGATATGAGCAAAGCCTTTGACCGTGCTCACCACCAAACGCTAATAGATGACCTTCACAGTCTGAAAATCCGTGGAAATGCTCTTGCGTGGTTTAAGTCGTATCTGTCTCACCGACAGCAACGCGTAGAAGTGAACGGAACCACAAGTGACTGTAGAACCTGCACTAGGGGCGTCCCCCAGGGTTCCGTCCTAGGCCCTACCCTCTTCAGCATCTACACTCGACTTGTCCCCACTCTGCCATTGCGTTTCCAATGCCTTCTTTATGCAGACGTCACCACCCTGTATGCCTCTGGAAAGTGTCCACGAATTCTCATGTCTTACTTTAGTAGAAGAAGATTTTTCAGTGGTGAAGCAGCACCTCACAGATCTCGGCCTGCTCCTGATTTCCAGCAAGAGCCAAGTACTACTGATCCACAGCAGATGCTCATACCTTTCACCTAACCTGAGCATTGTCTGTGATTCGACTGTTATTGCCCCGTCTGACGAAGTTAAGTATCTGGGACTGACTCTCGACTCGACTTTAAGTTTCAGTGCCCACGTTAATTCCCTCAGGGAAGATATTCGGAAAGAAACTAGGTGCTTTTCGACGTGGAAGGAGGAACCTTGCGGTCCAGGCCAGAAGGCAGTTCTACTTGTCAGTAGTCCAGAGCAAGCTCGAGTACGCCAGCACTGCCTACGTCCACTGCCTCGTTGACAACGTGAGAGATCAGCTGCTACGCATAAGTAAGAGAGCACTTAGATGCATATTTGAGCATGACACATTCACGCGGACATCATACTTGCTTGAGAGGTGCCGCATAATTAGCTTAGACAAAAGATATCATACTATTAATGTTAAAGTCCATATTCTTCGTGTTCCGTTGCATCCACAATATCTGCAGTTCACTCCTCTCTGACATGTTCTCCCTTCGCCGTGACTGCGCTCACACAGATATAGTCACCCGCGATCAAGTCAATAATTCCCTTTCTTTACCCATTGTGCAAGCTCAAGCTGGATACAAAATTATACAAATCCATTTCATTCCTTGGTGCTGACCGCTTTAATGCGCTTCCCGAATCCCTTCGCACAAATCATATCCCCAATTCATTTCGCCAGGAACTTAACAAATTCATTCATCTTGGGCACCCTGTAAGAAGACCTTAGGGTCTGTTGGGAATTCCAAAGTAAAATAATACTATACTATACTATACAGGTATGTGACCACTATGTGAGGAATTACATGTTCAATTGCATATGTGAATTGGAGGAAGAGAAAGAACAATTGGGTGAAAGTTACTTGTGCCATTCCACCAATCGAGCCCTCCAGAAAGTACGACAAATGGGCACAAACTGACAGGGTATAATTACTGTGACACTTACTGACGTCACAGCTAACTCAAACCTTTCTCCAACACGCAGACCCACACAGCCTTCCTACTTGGAACGGTGAAAACGGGGAGAACCTCCAAGGGGGGGGGGGGGGTAGACACGACAGAGACAAATACAAGCTAAGTTTCACACAGTAACAATAGAATGCGGCTTATGCTGGTGGTACAGGATGATGTCGACATAAGTAATTGCCACATCATCGGATTACATCATCGGATTACATTTTTGGTACCAGGTACAGGGCTAGGCCATAGGGTGAAAGGGAAGGCCTGTGCGTGCGAAGAGCAGATCTTTGCCACGGTCAAGTTTTTTGTTGGTCACTTGCATACAAATGGAAGTCGAGTGTTCTTTCTCGGGTCGGGGGTGCTATTTGCACTAATGACCACAGTGAAATTACCGGTATGTACGTGGAAGTGCTAATAGCTATACTCGTACACCCCCAGCTAGAGCCTGTCCCTCCTAAATTAATCGTGCTCTTCCTGTCCAGTGAGAACTACTACTATGCTGTCTTATATTGGTTGCTAGCAGAATATGTACTGCTGAAACAACCAGATACATTGTAGCATGGAGCTAAAGGTTCCTCCGCCAAAGTCCATTCTGCCAGCTCCAAGCTAGCCACATGGTTTCCTGAGGAGAGAGAGAGAGAGAGAGAGAGAGAGAGAGAGAGCCGAAAGGAGGGAGAAGAGAGAGAGAGAACTAGGGAGTTGAATGCGAAACCCTTGCACAATACAACTCAACACTGGTGCTTGAACAGCCAAGTAGCTAATCGGCTGGCATGTCCAACGGCTATTGTTTGCATGCAGGTCTAAACACGCAGTACAGTGATCAGACCGGCACCATCATGACTTATTATCACGGTATTTTTTATGTTGGTACAACATCTGGCATATTTATTACCTGCCAATAATTGAATAGAGATGAATACTGAGAACCAGCCAATGGCAGAATGGGATTTCACGTTCCTCGTTTCCCACATCCTCCCCCTGGGTCATCAAGGTAATCCTGGCTAATGTTCAAGAAAATAGATTAGAATTCAGTTCGAGATCATGTCACCCCCAGCACTCTTTTCTCCCTCAAGAACTCGCGTCTGCACTCTCGGCACGAAGCCTGGGCGTGGGCGAGAGCTCAATATCTGTTCCATTTTTACGGCGATCATGTAAAGCTCTCCGTTGTCTCTGCCTGGCCTCCAGGATAGAGAATGTCACTGCAGCAAAAACTGTGTAGAGTATGGTGTATGCTAGCTTGACCTTCATCTGCTCCAGACACTTGCCGATTCTCTGGCTATACATGGCAGCCATGCCGAATCCCAAGCCTTGCCACACACGGAAGTTGGAGTTGGCTGCTTCTTGGTCTCGGGGAAACACAATGCCGACAGTAACTGAAAGCAAGGGATAAACACAGAAGGACATTTGTAAGTCTGAGGGACTAAACAGGAATGGTCTGAAGAAACATTTGACTGTTTAATCACAGGGGCATAAGCTGCATCCATGCATTTGCAGTTACAATGATAATAAATAGCACACAGGCAGATTGCAACGTACCGGCCGTGCATATGTTCCAAGTAGCGTCACTGACACCCCACACCGCCGCCAGACCGTACAGAAGCGGTGCGTTGCTTGTGCGCGACCAGAAGATGAGCCAGAGCAGCACGGTACACTGCAGCCCCGCCATCATAACAACTAACACGGCTGTATTGACCTGTTTCATCACACGCGGCAGTAGCAGAGTGATGAAGAGGTTTGTAACGCCAAACGTTGCCGTGGCATAGCCGACGTATGCAACACCGAGGCAAGGAGTGATGAAGAACTACACAATCATGCACACACACACACACACACACACACACACACACACACACACACACACACACACACGCACACACATGCACACATGCACACATGCACACACACACACACACACACACACACACACACACACACACACATACACACACATACACACACACACACACACACATACATGCACACACACACACACACACACACACACACACACACACACACACACACACACGCACACACACACACAGGCAGATACATTGCAAGGAACAAGAAACACGGGAGATGAAAGTTCGAAGAACACTTTGAACAGTCTCTGCTGGCATAATAATACTGTAATAATACGTGCAGTTCGCGTCTTCCTTGAAGCTAATAAAAAGGAGCAGGGTTGACACATTTATCAACAATGTAAATCCAAACGTGTCTGCCTCCTGCAGCTTGGAGATCGTTCTCCACGGGGAAATCTGCTGCTTTCAGGCGGTGCCGAATTGTATGTATCTTGGCATAGCGGGTAACACTTTCTATGTAAGATTTCGTTACTAAAGTTCCACTTTTGTTGGGATCAAGTAAGCAGCTGCCTTACTCACCGATGTGAAATCCGCAGAGAAGAAACCCTTCTGCAGTCCGCTTCCAAAGAAAATCGGGATGAGCAGCAGCAGGTCAATGTTCCCGACAAGACGGAGTGTGGCTGTGATCTGTTGACTGGCCGTGGATGAGGCTAGTCTTGCCTGTACAGGAAAGGAAATGCACAGGGGAAAAAAATTCACGGTTCTCTTGAGAATCAGGTAGGCTGAGTTTTGAGAATCCGTAGGAACAACACCATCCTGCAAAGATCTAAAGCCTGATTCATACTTCATTTCGCGTACGGGAAAGCGTCGCGTCGCGAAAAAGTTGATCTGAGCTCAACTATTTCGCGTACGGGAAAGCCATCGCGCAACGGTCGCACGATGACTTTCCCGTACGCGACATGAAGTATGAATCGGCGGGTCTAAGACCAAAAATCCCATTTGCTGCATCCATGCACAGGGAAGTGGACGGATAAATCAACCACAGTCCAATTGCCGGTAGCACAGCGTCCACTTGCACAGAGTGTAGTTGTTCCTCCAGCACCAACACCATCTCAAAAAATGAGTACCGTACTTTCTCTAATAAAAGCACAGGTCTCCAATAATGACCCGGGGTGATGGTGGTTTGAAATAATAAGAGCACAGTCTCCAATAACAGCGCGGGTCACAATTGGAGTATGCAACAAGTATATTGACTGCATATAAAACAGCAGTACAACATGCCAAGAACATATTTGTAAAGAGGTTTTCGGTCTACTGCTTCCTTCCTGGCGCCAATGCCATTGTGAAACATCTATTTTGACAATACATGTATTCCTGAGTTAAGGGTTGAAAAATCAGTCTTGATATGGTCAGTTTATGCCTGTATAGACTGGAGTTGGCTTGATAGTTGACAATTGAAGAAATAAGAGCCAAGTCTCTAATAGTAGCGTGGGTAGAGCTGTTACTGAAAAAATAAGAACCCCGGGCTCTTATTAGAGAAAAAAGGGTATTCCCCTTTCACAGCTACAGTTTTTAGAAGTAATACATACTGCAAGCGTGACTATCTTATCATGTTGTGCCGTGACCATGATTGTATGCACCGGCTGATGTTTATATGGACTCGGATGGAGAGCCAAGGGTAAATATATAGTAACTGGTGGTGTTAGTGGACATTATAGCGTAACTTGTAGGTTCTTGGTCCTTTTTCTTTACTATGATATTTATATGCATGTTTATCCTTGAGTTTTCTCAGCCGTCCCTCTTCCATTGCATGCAGGCTGCAATCCACTCATGTTCTGAAGTACACAGCAGATCCAGGAAAAAAAGATACTGTCAGCTGGAAAGCTCATATCTCAGTGTTCATCATGAAGGAGAGGGTAACAGCCCACCTATTCAGTCACTCACCTTAATCGATGTTGACGACGCTTTGCGCAGTCCGAACGTCAGGAGGATTCCCAGCATGACAAGTCCTAGATACACGGACAGCAGCACGTTCTTGTCTCTCTCCCGCAGAATGACCTGGGCAGAGGGGAAGACACCAAGCATAAGTAGATTGTGTTCAAGCACACAATGCAGTCCCCCAACACACACACACACACACACACACACACACACACACACACACACGTGCATGCACGTATGCACAAACACACACACACACACATCCTTACAGTTGATTACAAGTTTGATCTGTGTATAGTTGTCGGATTTGGACCAATGGACTTTAAACAGGGTGCGAACCTCATATAGGGGCTGAACTGCCTACTGAGTCCTACACATAGACCGGGCCCACTGCATTGATCACTAGGCAAGTTGAATACTAGTACCGGTACCATCACTGTGGATCATGAGTGGGACAACACAGAAGTACATCCTCTTGCTGTCTGCTTACATGTGCATGGAAGCGGTCTCCGGGCTACACAACTCACTGAAAAAGAAGAAAGGAGAAAGTCATCCGAATTTTTGGGCAGAGGCCACCTTCAGGAATGCCCCCCCCCCCCACCCTCCCCCATTACTGCGGGTCAAGAGTGCGACCGTACATGCTCTTGCTGTTTGGTTACATGTCTCAGAGCTCAGGGGCGTTGGAAGGTATTTTGGTGTGGTACGGTCAGCCATCGGAAGTACAATTTACTCGCGGAGGAGTAGCTGCTGAGGCGAAATTTGTGGAAATTTAGAGCCCAGATCAGGGTACTTTATCGATTCACGGGGTGCCTGGTACGTCAATACCGTAGTGACTGTACCGTGTCCGACGGCCCTGGAGCTGGATGTGCCGGTACACAATGCACCAATCCAGTAGTGGTGCATACATTGAGACTAGGGTATAGTATGCATGCTGTTAAAGCAGAATCATCCATCAACTACCAAACCTTACCCCGTCACTGCTCCGATGACATTCTGTTGTACTTGATGTTGAGCCAGTGGTGTTGTTCGGCGGGCTTGGCGGATTGTGAAGGACCAGCGAGGAGATTGCTGGGCCAAACACATACGCCGAAACCAAGCCAAGGTAGAGAATACTACTGAAGCGCGAGATCATCGGCTGAGCCTGCACGCCGTATATGGAAGCGTAGTCGATAGCGCTGCACGTGGCTAGAACCGTCACCGACGTGCCGATCATCATGACAAACACTCCCCACACGCCACACATCGTTAGCAGTACGGCCGGGATGACGTTGAAGTGCGCTGCTACGTACCCGAGACACGGTATCATGGACAGGCGCAGCAGCGCGATAGCCCCGATGCGTCGCAGGAGAAACGGCAGCAGGAACGTGACGCTGATCACGGACGGGAAGAAGGAGAGTGCAACGCACATCTGACCCACTCCACCGTCGGAGTTTATTGAGCTTTCCAGTGAGGCCAGACCGAAGAAGGCGTTCAGAACGCATCCAGCAGCGAACATGACAATCAGACTGTTCCGGGCATGAATCTGTGCATCCGCTTTCTCTGCTTCATTCAAATCTCCACGACTTCTAGCATTATCCACTGACTGAGCAGTACTGCCGCTGGTTTGCGTGAGTGCTTGCGAACTAGTTCGTTTCCCTTCATCGGTGCCGGCATGCGTCGACCATTTAGAGTCTGAATTCTGGAGTTCTGTATCTCCATTGTTCTCCGCGTCCAACTCTGTATCTTGTGTTAGGCGCAGATGTCCGTGGACAAAGTCTCCTTTTCCTTTCCTCCATCTGCTCCGAATACAACTACCAAGCGCATCGCTAAGGATTGACGGCTGACCGTGAACCTCCATCGAAATTTCGGACCGATACCCTTCAAGTTCAAAACCAGAACTCAGTTACTATCACTTGTCTTCAGTGATTCAATCAATGAAGTCCGCAGGACCGCTTCGCCTTTCAAACATCTCTGCGTAGTGATCGAGAGCTTCTCCCGCATCCATGGGTGATAGTACTCCTGGTAGAATCTGTAGTAGAGAAATCGGACGACTGGCACCAGCTTCACTTGATAGATCTACGGCAAACGGCAGATTGTAGACCTTCGTGCAGATCAAACAACACTCTGCACGAAATTTCTTTTCGACCAGCATTCGCTGGCCCTGTCAGGCCTGCTATGAGTATGATCAAACCGCTAAGTGTATCACTATCATTATTCATATCAGCCCTCTTCGCAGCGAGGCACCAGCGCAGCAGGTATGTGCACCATGGTGACTGGTGTAGATCTACATGCATGATCTACATCCCCCCCCCCCCCCCCCCCCAGACATACATGCATGCGAAGCCAGACGAACACCCAGTCATGTACACAAACGTGCACAGAAAGCCAACCACCCACCCCCCCCCCCCAACAGACGGAAAGACAGAGAGACACGACACACACGCGCGCGCGCGCGCACACACACACACACATACACTCAGACATGCCCATCGCGGAAGCAATGATAGCGAACAGCTATGTTAGACGTAGCAACTGGTGCTGGGATTACACCATTCAACAGCTTGCAAGGCTGATGAATTGGCCGCCACTAATTTTAGACACACAGACACACACACACACGCACACACACACACACACACACACACACACACACACACACACACCTCAGACCTGCCCATCGCAGAAGCGATGATAGCGAACAGCTATGTTAGACATAGCAACTTGTGCTGGGATTACACACACACACACACACACACACACACACACACACACACACACACACACACACACACACACACACACACACACACGCACAGACAGACACGACACACACTATTGACAACTGTAGCTGCCATAAAGCTGATGGCAGCACGAGTGAAAAAATCACACGAACACTGATATCAACTTGAACTATTCATAAGGTTGAGGCCTTGAGGGAGTTGAAAATGGGAAAAAGTCTGAGATTGAATTTCTCGAATAACTTACTTTGTCTGAATAACATAAGATGAAATATTTCTCAACTACTTGATATACATGTAATAGACAGGTGTCTTTAAAAACAATACTCAGGCTGTAAAAACTTTTAAAAAAGTGCTCACTATCCAGTGGACGGAGGTATTTTTGAAAAAAAACGGGAATTTCGAGCCCAAATCAACGCATTTTAATGATTCATGGGGTGGCTGGCGCAAAATGGGGCTAATGCCAATACCATAGTGACCGTAGCATGACCGACGCCCCCTGTGAGGCTGTGGGCAGAGCAAGCCGTGCAATACCAAAGTCACAGCCAAGCAACATAGAATGCTTGCTTTGATAGTGTCGCCATAAAGCTAGGCAGAATTCAGAAGTGCAATCTGCCACAAATGATCTGTGTTCGAGATTGGAATAAATTAGATGAGCTCAAGTTCGAGATTGCTTCTTTATTATTATTATTATTATGACGGATAACCCAAAGGCAATGGTACCTAAATCAGGGGTGTCTCCGGATCAAACACAGAGCAAGGAGCTCAGCCAGCAGAAAATGTCAGCTTCTTCCCTTCTTGGTCCGTTCTGCAGAATAGGATTTCATGTTCCTCGTCTCCCGCATTCACCACCCAAGTGGGTCGTTACGGTAACCCTGGTGAATATTCAAGAAAATAAATTACTAATCAATTCAAGATTGTGTCACCCCAGCACTCTTTCTCCATCAAGGACTCGCTTCTGCGCGCTCGGCACGAGGCCCGAGTGTTGGCACGAGCTCAATATCTGTTCTATTCTTGCGGTGATCACGTACAGTTCTCAGCCGTCTCTGCCTGACCTCCAGGATAGAGAATGTCACTGCAGCAAAAACTGTGTAGAGTATGGTGTATGCTAGCTTGACCTTCATCTGCTCCAGACACTTGCCGATTCTCTGGCTATACATGGCAGCCATGCCGAATCCCAAACCTTGCCACACACGGAAGTTGGAGTTGGCTGCTTCTTGGTCTCGCGGAAATGCCATACCGATCATGACTAAGGCACACAACAGAAACAAACACAGGAAACCCGCAAACCCTCTTAGTCTTACACTTCTCGATGTTTTCGTTTTGTAAAGCAGTAAGCATCCATCTCTTCACCGCTAACACCAAACCACATGTACAGTCAAACCTCATTAGGACGAACTCAAGGGACTGAACAAGTTTGCTTGTCTTATTCGGAGTTCTTCTTATCCCGATCTGACAAAAAAATTGATATGCATATCATATGGATTGTATTTATGTGAAGGTGCATGCTGTGGCAAATGTAAAACATGTTTTTCCATAACATAACCCAGCAACAGGTAAGTACAATGTGCAATGAATTCATGACAGCATTGCATCCACCTTGTAACATGTTTCGCCAGTACAAGAGGCCTCGACTATCGGAAAAAAATACAGCCAGCGTACCCACGGGGCCCGATAGTTCGTACTACGCACTGATTTTGTTCAAATCACGCTTGAAATTAGTTCGTCTTCATGGAAGTTCCCCGTACAGAGTTCGTCGTAAACGAATAATTTTGACTTGATTATATTATGATGTCTGGCCAACCATAGGACTGGCCCTAGTTCGTACTAAAGGAAAGTTCGCCTTATCAGTATTCGTCCTTGAGAGGTCTGACTGTACATCAATTTAGCACGTCTCGATAACAGCCTTCTCCTCGCCACTAACGACCAAAGTACACGTGCATCAATTTAGAACGTCTCGATAACAGCCTTCTCCTCGCCACTAACACCAAAGTACATGTGCATCAATTTAGAACATCTTGATAACAGCCTTGAAAAGGCAGGTGTAAATGCATGCCGTGCCGCAGTATTTCGCTCCTCAGCCAAGAGTGCAATACCAGCCTAATATGGCAGTATCAATGAAGAAAATGTTCACGGTCGAGTATAGTCACTGAGTCAGCGAAGTGAGACTCTAACAGTTTTGAGGAACTAGTCAATTTCCTCAACTCAAACTCTTGGTTTTGGCTTGCTGACTGATATTACATTCAAACCCTTAGAAGACGTACCCATAAAAAAAAAATTCACGGTTCGCTTGAGACTCGGTTTCTATAGAGGCCGAGTTTCCCGTATCCGTAGGAATGCCACCACGCTTCAAGGATCAAGGCGCAGATGCAGCTCCTAAAGCGGTGGGAGGTGAGTAGATCAGCTCACCAGCATGTGGTCAAAGACAGAAAATCCCATTCACTGCATCCATGTTTTCCTCTTGCCAGGCCACGAGTTCCCAATTAACTGTGGGTCGCAGCACGGCTGGAAAAAATCCTTCCGCTTCCAAGCAGGACTTGAACCTGGTACCCTCTGTTTCTCAATCATGGTCTTAGACCATCCCACTATGCCTGCCTGCATAAGGGAACATGGAAAAAGTACTTCCTAGGTGAAGTATTCGCTGCATAGTACACACGCACTGCAATCGAGTTAGTGTGCGTCAAAGAATACGTGCAGTGAAACCTGTCTAAGACGACCGCTCAAGGGACCTTCAACATAATGGTCTCCATTACCAGGTGGTCTCCTTACCCAGGGTCATTTGACTGGAAATAGCATCCCTTGGTCCTGGCTGCAGTGGTCTCTTATTAAGACAGGTGGTCGCCTTAGCCGAGTGGTCGTCTTGACAGGTTTTACTCTACTACACAATAACACGTCTTTAAAACAATTCACCCTGTATGTACTAAGCGGTCTACTCTACTGATCATATCAGTCTTACTGACTTGTCAGTTTGAGCACTCTGGCAAGGTACGTTCGGGCCTGATTGGAAATTTTTATTTCCATTGCTATCAGGTTCGGCCTCATTTCCTCTGTGCTGCGCTGACGAGTCCACAAAGGACGAAACAGTTCTGTCCGCAGATTGAGTGATCATATCAGTCTTATATGGAAATGCAGTGGAGCTAGGGCTCTATGGTTGGAAAGTGCACGGCAGGGCCGGGCGAGGGCCGAAGAGCGGAGAAATTGCCATCGAGCAGCCTCTAACTGTGATAAGGCGCGTGGCGGGAAAGTCCCTGATCCATCATTTCCAAGACAACAAAAACGACCTCGTTCTTTTAAAACACTGTACATGCCTACCCTGGTTAGTAGATGACCCCGGGAGTTTCAAATAGTTTGTCTAGTAAACGAGTAGTATCTACTATCTGGACGTGATTGTACGCGTTTCAGGCGTCGGGGGATTTTTGATCATTGTCTACTAATGAGGGTTGTCTTGTACCCGATGATGTCATACTAACCAGGGTAGACCTGCAGCGGGCTTTCATACACAGTTGAATTCCGTAATGAAACGTCCGTGCCAGAAGTTTCAAAGTGTTCAACTAAGCATTCTGCTGCGCCTCGGTGCAGCGCCTGCTCATTATTTGTCACGTTTGTCCTAGTCTCCGTACCATTGTCATTCATTATTCTTTTCGAGCTGGGTATGTGAACATAGTTTAAAAAAATCAAAAAAAATCAGAGTTCTGGCTACGTACCGCACTGGCAGATATTCCAGGTGGCATCACCAGCACCCCACACACCAGCCAGGCTATAGAGAAGCGGCGCGTTGCGAGTGCGCTGCCAGAAGATGAGAAAGAGCATCACCACCGACTGCACCGCAGCCATCACGGCCACCAGCACCGCTTTGTTGACGCGCCGCATGATGGCGGGCAGCAGCAACGTCATCAGGATGTTTGTAGCACCGAACGTCGCAGTAGCATAACCGACGTAAGCCACACCGAGGCAAGGAGTGATGAAGAACTGCACGGATTATAGGAGAAAGGCAATGTAGATCAATAGGTACTACCAAGAGTCCGTAAACAAGAGTTTGCAACGCGCGATTGGGTCTTGTCACGACTCGTTTTCAACATTACGTCATTTTCATGTACATTTTCATGTAGCGAATGTCGCGGCCTGCACGCGCAGCTACATGAAAATGACGTAATGTTGAAAACGAGTTGTGACAGACATTTACGTGGCGCTGCACACTCTTGGGGTTATGGACTCTTGGTACTACTAAGCAGCAGTTTTCGGCCTGTTTATCAATCAAGCCAATTCCACCACCACCACATGCGCTCTCTGGCCGACTTCATCACACCAGCAATATGACTCCAAGTTTTATGGAGGAGATTTTTACAAGTTATCAGTATCTAAAACTTGGAGTCATCTTCAACATCATCGGAATACGTATCTGCTGAATGAACGGTCCCGATCTCTGCACACACACACACACAAACGTACCGAAGTAAAATCCGCCGTGATGAAGCCCTTCTGCAGTCCACTTCCAAAGAAAATCGGGATGAGCAGAAGCAGGTCGATGTTACCGACCAGACGGAGAGTGGCTGTGATCTGTTGACTGGCCGTGGACGATGCAAGCTTGGCCTGCAACAGAGAGGAAAAAGTGAGCAAAAGAAAAAAGGGGAAGGGATGCATCTCAGGGCCAGCGTGGCATAATTTCAACGAGACACGAACTACTACAGTCCATTCATGAAAATAAAGATAACAGTTAGACCGTATAGTAGAGTACAACCTGTAACTAAAGACCACCGTGACTAGCGACCAGCCTGCTACTACAGACCACTTCGCCGGGCACGGACGGTCTCACATTCATTATGCTTGTGCTGTGCAAACCTCTAACCAAGGACCACCTGCCACTAAAGACCGCTTTCTCTGGTCCCAAGGGGTGGTCATTAGTTACCGGTTTTTACTGTACAAGGGAATAAGAACGGCCCAGGCTACAAGGCTGACCCCGGTGCAGTTCTTCGGAAACTGACAATACTGTACACCAACTACACTAACTAATGTCGTGGACATGGAAATCCGGTCGCACGTCTAGCGGCCCCAGGGCGCTGGCCATGCAGCCGTGGATAAGCGGTACACACATGCATTTATGCGCTGCAGCGTGCTGATCGCATCGAATCAACATGTGCACTGCACGCAGCGTTCTGTACACGCTGAGGGTGCCGGCCCCGGTCAATCGACTGGATTTCCATGTCCACGACAGTACATCAGTACACACAGCCGCCACTGTCGTAGCCCAGGTCAGCACAACTCGCCTTAATAGAGGTTGAGGACGGTGTGCGCATTGCAAACGTGATCAGAATCCCAATCAAGACCAGGGCAAGGTAGACGGACAGCAGGACATGTTTGTCTCTCTGCTCCAGAATCAGCTGAGGGCAAGATGAAACAAACAAACCAAACCAAAATGAGTTCACAGGCAGGCTCCGGGAAGCCACGTGGGACAAACAGCATCATTCTCTCTCTCTCTCTCTCTCTCTCTCTCTCTCTCTCTCTCTCTCTCTCTCTCTCTCTCTCTCTCTCTCTCTCTCTCTCTCTCTCTCTCTCTCTCTCTCTCTCTCTCTCTCTCTCTCACACACACACACACACACACACACACACACACACACACACACACACACACACACACACACACACACACACACACACACACACACACACACACACACACACTCCGAGTCGCAACAGAAGCATGGCACCTATTCAAAACCGTCTCTCTTCCAAGGCACAGCATATCCACACTTGCACATCATGATTGTGCATTTACAACCCGAAACGAATGTGATTGAAGCCAGGAAAAACAAACGGAAAAAAATATTTTTAAAAAACTGGCTAAGATGAATACTTCGTTTTCAATGACAAGAATATGAAGCCGAGAGAACCCTGATGGCAAGGTAAAAACTTTCAAAACCCGAGAGCTTGCTGCAGTTGGTGAAAACTGCACCCATTTTTATGTCAATTCCTGTCCATGATGCTGCAGAGCACTAACTTTGCCAAAAAGTCAGGTTCTACCGAGATTTGAACTCGGATCGCTGGATTCAGAGTCCAGAGTGCTAACCATTACACCATAGAACCCTGCACATCACTCGCAGCATTAAAATGGGAACAAGAGCCTGTGCATGCCTTGTAACAATAAAACGAGAAAAGAGGTCCCGTTTTATTGTTTCACCCTGAGGCTAGGCTATAGTTTGAACTGTCCACCTCTCTACACTGCTCCTAATGAGCTCTTAATGAGTGAAATAGCTGTCTGGAGGATACTGATGGAGCATCTACCCAAGAACGGAACAAACTTCCTCACTATGGAATATGGTGTTGTGAATGTGGGCCAGGAGCGCAGTGTGAAGAGGTGGACAGTTCAAATTATTTTCAAATGGGGCCGAGTTTGTCGCTACTTCTGAGTTACCGAGGAGAGGCTATGATCTCTCTCTCTCTCTACCTCACCTTCTCTTGTCTTTTTCGCACTAAATCCCCCCCTTCTTTTAGGCTATGGTGCGCAAGCTCACGCCGAGACCATAGGTCAGTGTTGTGGGCTTGCCTCACCGCCACAGGCTTGCGTTGCAGCCCCTGCTCTCCCTGCTGTTTTGTTATTGTATATTCTTTTGTCTTCTCCCCTTCTAACGAGTGGGTTGTGTACTTAGTAAAAATTAAAAATTAAAATATTAAAAAATGCCCATTTTTAGGCAATCCCATATCGTGAGGGTTTCTGTTGCAAGCAAAGACACCATAACTAGCTGGTTGTGTGGGGAAATTAGTCAGATTAGATAATAATTATGCAGGTGGCTGAAAAGGAGCTGGTGAATTCTGTTATGTTACAGATTGATGAGTGAAGACTATTGGTTTCCCCGAACATCCATTCCGATACAGTATAGCGGACTACGGGAAACTACTAGAGAATTGACTTGAATACTGTCACGCCTATGCGATGTAGGTCTTCCACTTGTCGGCAAAAGCCACCATTGTACTGACGTAGCTTGCACCTATAGTCTGTTTCAAAAAGATTTACAATCAGGTTTGGGTCTTAAAAAGTATGAAGATAAGGGAAATTTGGACAACAAAGTACATAGAATGGCTTGTTAGGACACGGCAAATTGTTCTGTGAAGGTTTCGGAACAATTGGACCAACCGTTAAGGAGTTAGAATTTCGGCCAGGTTTCCGGCCTTTTCCCATGGTTTACAATTTGCCCAGGAAACCAGTATCGATTTTTTATCGAAACCCACGATTTATCCTTTCCTTTTTGGCCTTGTGGTTATGAATGCTGTCTGCTGACCATGAAGTTGTGAGTTCAAATCCCAACCTATCCTCACGTCAAACCTTTTTTCATTGTTTTGGTGATCAAGCTGGTACAAGACAAAGAAGGTGGCTGCACCAAACGACTTGTTGTTGCAGCTCGCGCTTCCTGCCAAACTGACTGACACTTGACTGGCTCACGCCATGTGAACACACCCACAACACTGCAATGGTGTGAGTGAATTATAATGGAAGTCGTCGCGCTGTAGCTTTTTGAGATTTATTTTAGTATTTCAAGATCGCCAATTTATTTGAATTTAGCAGTCAACGCCGTCTTCTATCAGCGTTCACAAGCGTTTGCTTTTCTCAAAATGTCGTCGAAGTCACACGGATAGCTTTGCCAAGTCATGGCCTTGGGAATGAGTCCGTGTCGATGTCGTTTTCGTCACACGGTGAGTAAATTGCATCGCAGCTCAAAGAAACTATTTTGGTCACAAAACGGACCCATGCAGCTCGTCAACATTTACAACGCTTTCGTTTCGACATGTCCTCTCTGACTCCATTATCGATACGAGGAAGAACTCGTTTGTTGTAAACCAGACGTACGTCCATATCATGACTGTGTCAACGTGAGTGAGTTGTCATTTTTCCTGCTTTCGCGCGGAATATTTCTTCGAGTTCACAGTGAGTTTTTCCAGGCAGCGCTCGAGTGCTCATACGGTAAGACGCCAAACTCCGCGGGCGATCGCCAGGGTTGTAAATCTTTTTGAAACGGACTGTAGGCCATGATACCTGCACCAGGGTCGTAGCTGGTCCCCCTTTCATGGGGGTGCATGGCCGCATATATGTAGGATGGGTGGTGCAGGTCATTCATAGTCATTATGTGTATGCTGAACCTAGGTCAAAATTATTAGGGGAGGGGGTGCCCATCCTTCTTGCTACAGAGCCTAGGCGCTACAAACATGGGTCGTCAGGGCACCGCCAGGCTGTGAAGGAAGGCCATGTACTCACCACGGCTCAAGTCAACAGATGTCTCTGTATCACGATTTTCAGTCAGGCATTGAACAAGCAATAAAGTAGGAATGAAATAGTGTGTGTGTGTGGGAGGGGGAGAGGAAGTGTGGAGGGGGAGAGTGAAGGGTGGGTGAAGTGTGTGTGTGGGGGGGGGGGGGAGAGGAAGTGTGGAGGGGGAGAGTGAAGGGTGGGCGAAGTGTGTGTGTGGGGGGGGGGGGGGGAGGAAGTATGGAGGGGGAGAGTGAAGGGTGGACGAAGTGTGTGTGTGGGGGGGGGGGGGGAGGAAGTGTGGAGGGGAGAGTGAAGGGTGGGCGAAGTGTGGGGGGGGGGGGAGGAGAAGGAAGTGTGGAGGGAGAGGGAGTGTAGAGGCGGGGAGGGGTGAAGGGCGGAGGGGGGTGGGAGTGGAGGAGGATGGAGTTCGGAGGGGGAGAGATGGCAGAGGAGGAGGAGGGGGTAGAGTGTGGAGGGGGAGGGGGATGGAGTATGTATGTCTGTGTCTGCGTGTGGGGAGAGGGAGGGGAGGGGGGGGGGGGGAGGGTGGAGAGGCGAACCAGAACCAATGACAAGGGAAACGAAGAACAACGCCATTAGCACAACCCTATCCTACTCACCGTATCACTAATCTCATTGCACTCTCTTGATCTAGACATGGACGTCATGTTGTTGGACGGTCTCGGCGGATTGTGCAGCACCAGCGAAGAGATTGTCGGTCCGAACACAAACGCCGACATCAGACCGAGGTAGAGGATGCTGCTGAAGCGTGAGATCATGCGATCGGCCGGCACTTTGTAGATTGCAGCGTAGTCGATAGCACTGCACGTGACCATGGTCGTCACCGAGGTGTTCTGCATCATCAGAAACGCTCCCCACAGCGCGCACATCGTCAGCAGACTAGCCGGCTGCACTTGGAAATGAGCCGCAACGTAGCCCAGGCACGGCACCATGGACAAACGCGCCGTACGGATCGCTCCCAGGCGTCGCAGCAGGAACGGCAGCAGGAATGTGACGGTGACGACTGAAGGGAAGAACGAGAGTGCAACGCACGCCTGACCGAGTCCACCATCGGAGTTGATAGAGCTTTCCAATGAAGCCAGGCCAAAGAACGCGTTCAGAACGCACGCCACGGCAAACATGACAATAAAGCAATTCCTAGCGTGAATTTGCGCGTCTTTCTTTCCAGCCGCACTCAAATATCTGCTAGTACATAGGCTAGTAGTGGGGGTTAGGTCAGTGGAAGACCTCCAATCCCCTTCAGTGGTGCTAGCATGTCCATGGTTCGCCTGCTGGTGTTCATTCTCATGTTCAGTGCCCGTGCTCAAATCGTCCTCCCCCGCCTCGTGCGTAGGCAAGCGGCAGCCATTTCCGTCGTGTCTTCTCTTTCTCCAGCCGCTCAGCGTCCAGCCCCCAAGCGTGTCGCTAAGAATGGACGGTTCACTGCGATCCATGGTACGTTGGCAGAGAATACGACGTTATTACAGACAGCCGGAATCATTGGAAAAGCCGTTGGTTATACCCTTCTCCGCAAAGGTATGATAATTATTTGTCCGGTCATTGCGCTATCGTCTCGAGAGCATCCAGTCCCGCTTCGATACCAGTAGTACAGTAATCGTCTCCCACGCAGTGTCGCGCACAGGGCTGTTTGGGGATATGATAAGCTAGCCTGCTACTGTAGTCTGTAGCCAGCACTAACAGACTTTTGTGATCTATTGTGTTTCCTTGGGTAAATCTACTGGTACATGGTGCGTTCCAGCAATCCAGGTTTACGACACCGATACTCGCCGGACTGAACCTTCACTGGCTTCATGAATTCAGTCTGCAGATCTGAGCAAAACATCATTGAATCAATACAATCATGACATGATTGTAATAATTTTATTATGGTCGAATTTACACTTGCATGCAAAACAATGCCCGTCGGATCGCCATAATTTTATTTTGGCCTGGTGTGGGAACAGATTACAGACACTCCACTCATTTAATACTGAGACAGCAAAACCAGGGAGCCCTACACATACAGATAATAATTATATCCGGACAGGTTGGGACAAGCAAACATTTTTTTATGCCTATCAATGCCGATTATCGATTATGGGTTTTGGGGCCAGAAATGCCAATTATAGTGGGCAATTGTTGCGGCTCTAGATGGGTCAGAAAGGTACCCGGCGGTAGACGGACGTGCGGACTAGAGACGTGTCCGGATGTACGGGTTTTTCTTCTTTCCTTTTCCTTTCTTGTTATTACCGGTATGACTCGTGATCTTTAACTATCCGGCGTGTATTTACCGCCACAAAAAAAAAAAAGATTTGGGGAGTTTTACTGTACCGTACTACTAGATCGTTTCTGCTACACGGCCGGGCGCCGGGAAAGGCTCTCCCACAGATTGTAGCACAAAAGCCACGGGCAAGTGTCCCACTGAGGTGCGGTCGCTTGCCCGGACCGCTGGGGCGCGGACACCTACGAAGAGCAGCCTGTGACGTTTATTTTTTATGACAGAAAATCCGCAAAAAAAAGTTGGGCTTGTCCTTTCGCCTTTCGCGATTCTTTCATACCGTTCTCCACACGGCATGGAGCGCGCTTCGCACAGACTGGTCTCCGTATGAAAGCTACGCGGAGTTGAAACCAGGCAGTGGTAAAATAGTGAGTAGGTATTTTACGACTCTCTGGTTGAAACATGCACAGCGGCCGGCATCGGGATTTCTTTTTTTTAAATCTTTGAATAAATAGTACACGACCAAATCAAAGACAACAATACAGTGAATACAGTACTCAGAAGTACTCAATAACTTACGTGCGAGGTATTTGCAAAAAAGGGGAAAATAGGAATAATAATAAATAGGAAAATAAATAGGGCCCTGTGAAAATGTATAGCTGAGATACTTCACTAGTTTTGAGGGAAAGTTGCAAAATTTATAGAGATACCAGTATAAAACGGCGGCAGGTCCTTATTAGAAATGGATGGCCCAAAAGAAGATGGCATCAAGTAAGTAATAGTTCAAACTTGTGACAGCTCTGAAGAAAAAACCTGATAAGTTAAAAAAAATCGGAAGGTGAAAAAAACTGGGCGAGCTCTCAACTGGATTGATGCAATATTGACATCAAGGAGAAGTTCAACTGGACTAAAACATAAACTAAAAAAAGGTCTCGTGCAAGACCTTCAACATACGAGCATATACGTAAAACACTGTTGGCATCTAACTGCATGTACGCACGCTGCAACAGAATGTTTACAGAGGTCCTGTGTACAATCTGGCACCATCTGAGTGCAGACATCCTGCTGGATGTGGCAAGGTGCTTGACCGAGTTACAGCTTGTTAAAACCATCGGCGAATAGTCGTCAAGTTTTGACTGCATGGACGGATGTGGGTGTAAAAGAAGTGATGTGGTGCGCATGAACGGGAGATTTCAGTTGCAGAAAATCCGCAATAAGTGCTCGCTTATAGTGGGCAAGAGAAACGAGGGATGACTCTATGTGAATGCGCGTGCACGAGTGTGCGTGTGTATGCGTATGTGTGTGCGCGAGCGCGCATGCGTGTGTTCTGGTCTGCCGTAGTCCCGGGATCTCAAGCGCCACGTTCCGTACTGCAAATGCTAGTAGATAGTCCCTTCGTTATCACTGGCATCGGCAATGGACATCTTCAGGGTTCAAGGTGTGTTGCAATAAACATTGACTGCAGACAGCGCTACCTACGGAGACAGCCTGTTCTCATCAGAATGCTGGCTAGTATCTCCATCTCCATCACCACCCGGCTGCATTAGTTCAGTGTCGCTGGTACTGTCCAGCTTGGCCTCGGTGTCCGCTTTCCGTATCCTCCACTCCAGCACGGCGTACATGATCATCGAGAGCAGGAGCAGTGCCACGAGGAACCACAACTTGCGCTGCAGCTGTTCAAAGCACGAGTCAAAGCGAGAGCTGTAGAGCGCGCTGACACCGAAGCCGAACCCCTGCCAGGCGCGGTGGTTGGAGTAGGCCGCCTCTTGCTGGCTCGGGAACACCACACCGATAACAACTGCATGCAGGAGAGAATGGGGAGAAAACAGCAGGAGCATGGCACAGTGGACATAGTCATATCTACTACAGTGGAGATCGGACATAACGAACTTGCATATAACGACAGATTGAGTTTAGCAACACAATTCTGTTGCCCAAGTCGTTTAGTAAGTCCTTTGTGAAGATCGGGTTTAGTGACAGATTGAATATAGTGACATTTTGTTCTCTCCCAAAGGAGTGTCGTTAGATCCAATCTCCACTGTAGAATACATATAGCCCAAACAAGGCCGGTTGAGGCAGCTCCAAGCAGAGTGCTCAATGCACAAACGTACAGAGCAATATAAACACACAACAGCGGCAAACGGCTGTGTAGCCGTAACTTCAAGTTTCACGCTTTTCAGAGATCACCAGACAGTATACAATCTGGCGATCATCAGACACTATACATATAGCATGTCTCACTCCAATTCTGCCGCTGTCCTTTCCTGGCGAGACAGTGTTTCAAGTAGTGTGCTTACAAATTTTCAGTGTACTACTTTTCTTCTCGATGCATCTCTTTCATACCTAAAATTATATTATAGCCGCACAAACGCTGACACACATATAATCCAATAGGAAACTGCTTCTCTGTACCTAAATATTCTGTTTATCTAACCCGGTCTTTTGCCCTCAGGTATAAACATTTGAGCACCTAAAATTTCTGAAATTAGAGTAACAAGAAAAAAACGGAGAGAGAGAGAGAGAGAGAGAGAGAGAGAGAGAGAGAGAGAGAGACATAGAGACAGAAAGAGAGAGAAAGAAAGAGAGAGAGGGAGAGGGAGAGAGATAGAGAGAGCAGGGTTGCAACCAAAGCAATACAGCGCTGCGCTGTGCCTCCATAACCTGTGGCACATTCTGTACTTTTACAGCACTGGTCGTTACAGACAGATCGGCTACAGTTCTGACACGGAGGCTAGAACTTAACATACAGGTTAACTTACTGCTCATCTCAACATTCCAGATAGCGTCGGCGGCGCCCCACACAGCAGGAAGTGTATAGAGCACTGCGGCATTGGGAGAGCGTTGCCAGTACAACAGCACCATCAGCACTGCAATCTCCAGTGAGGCAGCGACGGCAGCAAGCAATGGCCGACCAGCGCGCCTCAGCATGACCGGCATTAGTGCGGTGACCAAGACGTTTGCGGCGCCGAACGAGGCAATGCTGAATCCAACGTTTCCAACGCCGAGACACGGCGCCACGAAGAACTGCCACACAAAGTACACACGAAACACACACACACACACAGCAACACCAGGAAATATTACTGTTATTGCTAGCACCTTCGCGATGTATTAAACCGGGTTTGCATACGTCGCTTGTGCCATATTCAGGACAATAAAGAAACAGAATTCGTTTTGGGTGAGCGGGGTCTCATCAGGAAATCAAAAGGTTAATCTAGCCTGTACTCGACTCCTAACAAACTTGATTTCTCGTATCTCAACAACAATAAGTAGAAAATTTCTCTTCTCAACTCCAATAACAAAGCGAGAAAAAAACATACAAGCACACGCGCACGCACACTAGGAGCGAAATGTAATCACTTGCGAAAGTTTCTAACTTTACAGTACGTATTTTATGATGCTTTCAAAAGTTGAGGCACAATGGCCTCCAACTGAGCAACGCCATACTGCTACTGCTGAGGACCAGAACGTTGCGTCACAGCAACGTTTGTCATCAGCTTGCTTCCTGTTCAGTGTTGATGCCGTAGAAATAACTGCACTCCCAGAGACGACAGTAAAATGCTGAAAGTTACCGTAGTTGTGTTTTCAGGTGCGCATAGAGGTTGCTCGCCGTTTTGCCATACTAACCATACGCTGCGGGAAATCCTGCAGGCAGCTGACTTCTCATCCTCGGATTTGGTAAAATGATCCCAAACAACAGAACGGGGAGCACGACCGAAAACAGTTTCTGACATGGGAACAGTGCGAACTCGAAACAAAAGAAAACTACGAAGTGGTCAAAGGAAGAGCGAGCAGCAAAATTTGTAAAGTACGAGTACTTGTGCTTTGTTCCGATGTTTGTCTACATGTCGTCAGATCGTGAACCGCGGGCGCGTGGGTCATGTAGGTCTATCGCCTGGCGCAGAGCTGGTCACAAGCACGCAGCTACACATTCTACAGGCGCGGCGTGTGAAACGATCGTGACTGATTGCCATGTTTTTACGGGTTTATCGTACCGTACGCATATCCTCAAAGTTCGAATGTTCGTGAGAACTACGAATGTTCGTTCGCTGTGGCCTAACGAACGAATATTCGAATGTTCGATATATTCGTTTCACCCCTAACGCACACACACACACACACACACACGCACACGCTCACACACACACACACACACACACACACACACAAACACGTCGCGCCGACTCACTTGTGTATAGTTGTTCGTGATCATCTCCTTGGCCATACCGGTAAAGAAGATCCAAGGAATGCACATCAGCATGTCAAAGTCACCAAGCAAACGAAGAGTAGCTGTAATCTGCTGCCAAGCAGTTGCAGACGCTAATCTTGCCTGCAAAAGCACACACAAAGGAGAAGAGACAAAGTCCGTTCTTAGTTTGAGGAGAAGAAGAGTACACTGTATGGCTGTGATCGTTCGGTCGGATCCAGATCCAGATCCGTCGGATCCACTGGATCTGCAGTGATTGATTGGTCGAATCCGGATCCAGATCCTTCGGATTTGGATCCGAGCAACCCTGCCCCGGGAGCAGGGTTGACTGGATCCATCGGATCCAAATGTGACCTTTGTGCGTATATGGTGGGTAAAAATTATTTTTGTACTCATTGTCGTACGACTAATCGGCTTTTGTTGACTTTTCGTACGACGTGCGCGATCAGTACGACTTTCGCCCTTTTGGGTGACCTGTCAGCGCCATTTTTTTACATCGTCAACATGGGAATAGCCAAGGTCCGAAAAAAAGTGATCGGTTGATTCTGAAGGATCCGACGGGTCTGAGATTTGGATCTGGATCTGGATCCGACCAAACGATCATAGCCTTAGAGGGGCCATCCGGCATTATCGATAATTTTCACGAAACGAAAAAGTTTAGTTATGACCCCCCCCCCCCCCAAACGAACAAATATATTGACTTGACAGCTAGAACGGATTGATGTTTTAGCTATCAATATTTTTCATAACGAAACTCTCCTCGACCCACCCACTCATGAACGAAACTTCTCGTTTTGTATAAAAGATTGATAAAAAATCAACTTGCTCGAAAAACCCGCCGAACCACGGTGCCGCTGGTGGGTTGAACAGCCACTCCACCGACAACGTCTTCGCCGCTGCTCGGAACGTTGTGCCGTTGTCTGAACGGATGCGGGCCGGCTCTCCCCACCGTGCACAGAACCGCCGGTACGCCAGGAGAAACTCTCTCTTCTCCAAGCTCCGCACCAGGTCGATGTGGACAGCTCGGGTGGTGCCGCACACGAACAGCGCGATCCATGCCTTGCCGCCATCCTTGACAAAGAGAGGGCCGGCATAATCCACTCCGCATAATCCAAAGGGACGCTGGTGCACCACGCGGTCTCGTGGTAGCGGTGCGGAAACTTCATCCGCGGCTCGCGCATCCTGCCGACGACAGATAACGCATTTGCTCTTCACGCTGCGCAACGCGCGTCGATCGCCAATGATCCAATACTGCTGCCGCGCGAGAGCTAGCACACTCTCGACACCCTGATGTAGCGACTTCAGGTGGAGATGGCGCAACAACATCTCGGCGACGTGGTGTTTAGCGAGCAGGACCGGGTGCTTAGCGCTGTACGTCTAGTCGCTTGACGCCAGCCGGACGCCAACTCGCATCACGCCGTCGTCGTCGATGAACGGCTGGTACTGGAAGAGCTTCGACTCCTTCAGCACCGGTTGCCCTGCCAACAGCCGTTTGACTTCCTCCGGGAAGAGCTCCAGCTGCACCTTCTGGAACACGAGTGCCCTAGCTCGTCTCTCCAGATCTTGAGTCGACAACGGTGGGCGGCTCTGGGAACGCCAGCTCAGCAGACGCTTGGCGACTCCCAGCAAGCGTGGCAACCTCGATAAGCGCGACCACCAGAGCTGCTCGGGCTCCAAGCTGGCGGTGACGACATTCACCTTCACTGGTTGCGACTCTTCTTCGGTGCACTCTACTGTTGGTCGCATTGGCCAGGCGGCCTTCTCAGGCAACCACTCGGGACCATGCTGCCAGCTCGATTGATGCAGCTCCTTCAGCGTCGCACCACGACTTGCCAGGTCGGCCGGGTTGTCGCTGCCTGGACAGTGATGCCACTCCATTCCGAGGCCGTTGGATACCTCCTGGATTTCGCTGACCCGGTTGGCGACGTACGTTCGCCAGCGATGGGGTTGGCCGGCGATCCACTGTAGCATCGTCATCGAATCCGACCAAGCGTGCGTCTCCTTGATAGGCAGGCGCACCTCTCCTGCGACGAACTGCAGCCAGCGACTGCCGACAAATGCTGCCTGCAGCTCCATCCATGCCAGGGTCTGCTGCTTCATCGGAGCGACCTTGGCCTTCCTGAAGATCAGCTCGCTGACGCTGGGCCACGTGGCGTAGATACAGCAGCCGAACCCGCTCTCAGAGGCGTCGACAAACAGATGTATCACTGCTTCGGCGCTGCAGCCGAGGTAGCGCGGCAGTGGCTGATGCTGCAGAGCTGTCCTCTCTCCCCACCATCGCCGGATCAACACCTGCATGCCTGCAGGCACCTGGTCGTCCCACGCGACGGCCTCCTGCCATAGCTCCTTGAGGAACAGCTTTCCCTGCAGGACGTACGGCGACGCGAACCCGAGAGGGTCGTACAGGCTGGCCACGCAATGCAGCAGCTGGCGCTTCGTCGTCGGATCGTCACAGTCTGGAGGCACCGGAATGCGCAGCGAATCCTCTTCGTCATTCCAGCAGAGACCGAGCACCTTGCCGCTCGACTGTACCTCGTCATCTCCAAGCGGAACATTGCACTTCCACTTCCGCAGATCCATGCCCGCTGTCTCCAGGCACGCGGTGCCGATCTTCTTAAACTGGCGTGCCGCGTCATTCGTTGGCACGCTGGCAATGCAGTCATCGATGTACAGACTGTCGCGCAATCGGCGCAAGACGTCTGCCTCGGTCGGCGTGGCATGCTCCAGCGGGGACTCCAGGTGCGTCCGCAGCACTGCTGTGAGCAGAAACGGTGAACAATTCACCCCGAACGGCACCCTCGCCAGTCGCCAGACCTGCATCTTGCCTGACGCATCGCTCCACAGGAATCGGAGATAGCGCCGGTCGGCCTCCTTCATACCGATCATAAAGAAGGCCTTCCTTTTGTCGTCTTGCACGGCGACCGGCTGTTCCCGGAACCGAATCAGCAAGCCTGCCAAGCTCGGTAGTAACGACGGACCCGGGCCCAGCAGAGCGTTCAACGACTCGCAGCCGGCCTGTGACGCGGACGCATTGAAAACGACGCGCGTCTTCGTCGTCGTGGATTCGGCCTTGAATACTGCATGATGCGGCATGTAGTATCCCGCCGTCGACGGGTCCGGCTCAAGCTCGATCGCGCCCAGCTCACCGTACTTGCACAGAAGAACGTCGTCATAAAGCGCCCGCCGGCCGTTGCCATGGCCTGCGCATAGTTGTCGGCTGGACGCTCCGCCGACTTTCAGAGCAGGCCGACTTCGTAGTGCTGTTCCTTCCGTGCGATAGGAAATGCTGGCAAAGGCACCGACTTGGAGGCTGGCTCCTCCATCTGCCACAGCATCTCCACGGCCGACGACTGCACCAGGCCGACCGAAATCGTGGGCCGACTCGCCGAGCCCCCGGGTGGGGGCGACTCGAGCTGGTGACCAGGGCCAGACAACACCCATCCCAGCTCCGATTTCCACACAAACTCTCCTTCAAACTGGCACTTCTGCGTAAGGAGGCTGTTCGATGCGTCGGCGCCCACCAGCAAGTGCGGCTCGGTCGGCACCTGGTCAGTCTCCTGGTCGCTCAGCGTGACGCCACGACTCTGCCACCGCTGGACACACGCGTCGGGAACTGGCTCGATACGCAAATCGAGGTCCGGCTTCTCGTACGCTCGGACAACATGCGTCCTGCCCTCCAACCCAGTCACGCGGATTTGGTACAGCCCGAACTCAGCCTCGACTTCCGTGCCGTCGAACGACCGCACCGTCATCCGGTGGCAGCCCACCTTCGGCGGGCGGACAGCGCGGACCAGCGCCGATGACACGAAGGACGCTTGGCTGCCGAGGTCGATGAAGACACGCACCTTCGCTCGCAGGGTTTCACCTTGCACCTCAACTTGTGTTTGCTGGCGATTTAATTTCGCCACTTGGTACCAATGTGCCAAAGTAAATCGCAGGCTAACGTTTTCATAGAGGCAAATGATACATGATTGAGCCATGGCTGCATGTAAGAGCAAACAACTACTGATCGATATCTTCTTTGAAAACCTCCGATCGGCCAAAGTTTGATGACACCCCAAAATTTCATTTCGAGATTGACCAAAGTTTTTCAACGGCCAAAAATTGTTGATTTTAAATACAGTATTTAGTTGAATGTAATTCCACGGGGGAAGTTCAGTGTGCTAACCGTGATGTGTAGAAAGAAAGTTAGTGCAGAACAAGAAATTAAGATTGAGAGCCAATTCAAGCTGACAGGTTGAAGTGTTGCAGGTATGCCTATTGGACCATATGGTAGCAAGCGGCGGCATGATTGTCTGTTCACTCTTTCTCTCACTTTCGCTCAACAACAACAAAATGTCTCTCCCCATCTCTCTAAGCCATACACACACACACCGTCAAACAGTCACACACACACACACGCACACACACGCACACATACACACACACACACACACACACACACACACACACACACACACACGAGTAACACGCACACACACACACACATGCCCCCCCCCCCCCCCCCACACACACACACACCAGGTACCAGGTACCATGTACACACACACAGGCACGCATGCGCAGGCACACACACTCACATGTACACACACACAGCAGGACCGTCGGAAGCAGTTTTTGATTCATCCGACCTTTCAGGTGTTCTGTATGATACGGCAGGTACGTCACGCTACTAAAAGGTGTTTGTGGCCAAAAACTGGGTCTGGCAATAACCTGACCAACCAGGCTGGTTCCGGTGGGCCTGAACACACACGTCACACACGATAGACACACACACACACAACGCACAGGGGTAAAACCTCAACATACGGCACTGACCTTTATGCTGGTTTCCGATGCATTTCCCACCAGACAGAATACACAGAATGCGACTAGCACCAGCACTGAATACACAATGAGTAATTCATAGCGCTCTTTGTCAGCAACCACCATCTGGAGAACACACACACACACACACACACACACACACACACACACACACACAGAATCACATGCCGAATGGCTCTCTTATTCTCTCTGAATTGTAAAGCAGCACATGAAATTGGATATTAGTAGCGAGCCAAAGATAATTTTAGAGGCAAAGGCACGCAAGTCGGGCTGTGACAAGTTAGTGAGTACATATCCAGGGCCGGCGTGATGCAGGCAAGTCAGGTACAGCAGGACCTAGTCACATAATGTAGGCAGCATGCCGCACATGCAGACCAGTACTGTAAAAGCCATTATTCTAACGTGGCGCATATATAACGATTTACTAAAATTGACTGTTTTACGTGTACCAAAGGTAACGATTCTCACTCATTCTCAACGCTCAATAGCAACAGTATTGTATCGATTTCTGTATAACAGTTTCTATTTTAACGACAGATTTCTCCTCGTTAACTCGTTAGAGTAAGCACTTCGTTATAAATATGGCTTTTACAGTAATCACAGTGGCATACTGCTGTACATGGCATCTGACTTCACATCGGTGAGTTTGTGTTTGTAGCATAATGTTTGTTGGACGCGGACGTGTGGGAGTACTGTAGTGTCGCGTATAAAAGCATGACCCGTATAGAAGCATGACTCGAACAGAAGCCGATTTTTGCAAAGCGCGCCGTGACACAGAAGCACGATTTGAATAGAAGCCACTCTTTGCAAAGTACATGTGCGCGTACATGCGTGGCAGCATGCACTGCACAGTGCAGACTGATGATGTTGACGTAGAAACATGTCTTGAATAGAAGCATACCTTGAGTAGAAGCATGGTTTGAACCGCGGCGTTTACGGCCGTGAGCACCTGCTTTTATACGCGACATAACGGTACTCTTTGTTTCGCACCCTTCTTTTCCCCCGCCGGTTCAGGGGCCATCCATAAATAGATACATTGTTTTTGTTTAGAAACGAAAACTAGTCGTTTGGGGGGGGGGGGGGGGGCAGGGGGTTGATCGCCTGCTCGTTTCTCGAAAAATATCGATGCACAGTTTTGTATGTGTGAGCATGTCCAGAAAAAAAGCCAATAAAATATTAATACTATTGTACCATCTGTATGACATTGTGTTCGTTTCTCAAGGAGGGGGAGGGGGGTTGAAGAGAAACGACTGCTTTTCGTTTCTAAACGAGAGAGCTTGGAAGCTCAGGGCCCTACGCTATGCTTTTTTGCCCTTGATGACCTAGACAAAAGAAACATAGGGATGTTATAAATTCTTATAAGTTACATAGGGATGTTATAAATTCTTATAAGTTTCTACTTTTTGTTTTTAGACATAACCTGAGATTCGAACCCACACTATCGCCCTGCATGCATCCCCCGATACACTTCGCATACATACTAATTCTTCCAAGTTGCTTCACGTTATGACCTTGTATTTGAAAGCCCTATTTGAATACGCATTGTGGCCAGCCGTCTTTGATTGTACGGTACGGAACGGGATAGGTACGGGACAGGTACGGGACAGGTACGGGATAGGTACGGTCGAGGGTGATACGATACCGTCTACCGCCTTGATGACGGCAAAAAAAGAAAAGGGATGTTATAAATTTTTCAATTCTCCTATTTTTTCAGGCATTACCTGGGATTCGAACCCGCACTATCGCCCTACATGCATTCCCCCATACACTTCGCATTCTTCCAAGTTGCTTCACGTTATGATCTTGCGTTTGAAAGCCCTATTTGAATATTGCGGCCAGCTGTATGTGGCCAGCTAGCTGTGTTTGATGATACGGTACGGTACGGGACAGATACGGGATAGCGCCAGGCGTGAGACAAACACACAAACAAACACCAAATTAAAGCTGTGTGGACCCTGGCTAGCGCCAGACGTTACTGAAGTAACGTCTTCTGCATAGCTACGGGAATAAATATCGGTATTTACGGACACGGGGCCCTTGTAGTGCCAAAATCATTGTCCATACCTTTTCTTTGGAGTCCGTGCACTGACGGACGTGCCCAGCCGAGCCGTTGCCATGGAAACTGGTGGGATTTTCGAGTATGAGCGAGGAGAGCAGCGGGCCGGTGAAGTAGGACATCACCAGGCCGACGAACAGCATGCTGCTGAAGCGTGCGATCATCGGGGCGCGCGCCACCCGGTAGATGCTGGCGTAGTCGATGGCCGCCGTGGTGGTGATGACGCTCAGCGACGCCATGAACATCATCATGAACATTCCCATGAGCGTGCACGCCGACAGGAACACTGCCGGCAGCACCTCGAAGTGAGCGCCCAGGAACAGCGCCACCGGCAGCATGCACAGGCGCAGGACGCGCGGCGGGCCCAGTCGCCGCAGCAGCACCGGCGCCAGGAACGTCACCGAGATGATGCCGAGTCCGTAGAGCAGGCCCAGGCAGCCCTGACCCAAGCCACCGACCGAATTGATCGAGCTCTCCAGTGACTGTATGCCGAATATGGCCGTCAGCACGCACATACTGCCCAGTATCATCAGCAGACAGTTGAGCGCGTGCACCCTAGAGTCCTTGGTTTTCCTGTTGACATCCCACGACGATTCCGTGGAGTCATCACTCAGCTCCGCAACGGCAGCGGCCTCAGCTTCGGAGCCTGCACTGCCGCTCCGTGGCCTCGCCGCATCGTGCAGCCGCCCGGAACAGCACTTGGCGCGAGCAAGGTCCAGAATGCCGTGCATTGCATCTCGCAATATAGCGGGTCGTCGCTCCCTGACCATGATGAAGCGTCGGCAGCGTAGCGAGTCAAGTAAATATTCCAAAAATTTTAAATTTGGACAACACTACGATCATGTACTACCGATACTGTACTCTACGATCATACCGCATAACAAATTTCGGAATATTCTGCCCCCATGCTCTCTACCCACTAGTCTGAGGACAATGTCCAAACACAACTTGGGAAATCTCTATGCGCGAACTTCACCATTCCCACTCTACTCCACGCCCGTCTACTTGCAGCTGTGTCTGTGAAGCCTGCATGGATGATCCTCTGACAAACAAAACTTCAAAAATTAATTTGATTCCGAACATGAAAATGAATGATGAAGCACCTTCGCCCTGCAAAGACGTGCATGGCCCTGCTGGCCTGGGTGAAGTCGAGGGAGTTGTAGACCGTAGCCAGCGTAGGCGTAAGGGTTTGTACGACTCCCTGGGCATGCATGCTAAATGCCTGGTCTGCTGATCTGGTGAAGTCGAACAAGGGCAGATTTTTGGCGTGTGGCAGAGCGTGCATGAAATGTAAGACATTAGTAGTTGTAGACTAGACTGTAGTTGTATAAAGTCGGCACCCGCGAGTTTGTCTCGTAGCTTTATATGGGAGGCGCTAGGCCGCGGGGGGGGGGGGGGGGGGGCGGGGGCGGGGATTGTCAGTCCACCGCGGTACCGCGTACCGGTACGGGAAGATGCGGTACATGTCATCAAGAGTACAGAAGAGTAGGGCCTAGGCATAGGGCCCATAATAATATTAGGGGGGTTATGTACTCTTGATACTACCCAATCCAGAGGCAGAACTTTAATTTTGCGTAGATCCAAGATCTACAACTTCTACTCCCTATCTTTTTATCCCTGCGCCTAGACTACAGTGCATTACTCAGTGACTCGACTCGAGTCTTGATATGGGTACAAACAGTACAAGCAAGAGTATATACCCCCACCCCGCACCCCCCCCCCCCCCCCCCCGAGTGTGCAACGCCTGATGCAGCTCAGCATAGGGTTTTGGTCGAGCATAGTCGGATCTACTGGTGTCATGCGTAGAGTCTACACTCCACACCACGTTTGGTGAAGAAAAGTCGTGCTGGAGCACACAAACTACCGTACTGGCAATATACATGTATGTTGCCGCGTAACGCAGGGGGGTGCGGCGTAACGCGCGACCAGGCTTGTGCGACAAATTTTCGTTGCGTTCGTAACGCACGTCCGGCGGGGTGCGGCGATCTTTTCATTGCAGTTTGCAAAAAAATGATGCGGCAATAGCAAAAAAATGATGCGGCAATAGCAAAAAAAGGACTGCGGCAATAAAGAAACCTGTGTAACGGCTCCTGTGCGACTTTGCATGTAACGCCCTGCGTGCGGTAAACATGTGCCAATGTAACGCTTCATGGCCTCACTGCGACCATATATATTGCCAGTACGGTATACGGCCCATGTTTTACCAATGCCAGGACCCCAAAAATGTCTTGCTCGCGACCAGGATGAGCCCGGAATCAGATCTGTACGGTAAGACGCAACGATCCGATTACGCTCGACCAAAACCCCATGCAGAACTGGATCAGGCGTTGCACACTCTGGGGGGGGGGGGGGGGGGGGGTATGCACTCTTGGTACAACGGTATGTACTCCCACGGAATGGCAGGCCGACCGGCCAGACGGGGTGCTGTGGGCTGAATACTAGTATGCTGTCATTATGCACATACAGTAAAACCTGCCAAGAAGACCACCTGTCCAAGAAGACCACCTGTCCAAGAAGACCACCTGTCCAAGAAGACCACCTGTCCAAGAAGACCACCTGTCCAAGAAGACCACTGAAGCCAGGATCAAGGAATGCTATTTCCAGTCAAATAACCCTGGATAAGGAGACCACCACCTGGTGACAGAGACCACATTTTGAAGGTCCCTTGAGTGGTCGTCTTAGACAGGTTTCCCTGTACTTCAAGTAGTAATATTATGATCAGCCACCACCACTACACAAAGGCCGTTGACGCTGCAAATTTTATTCAAAAGAAACGAAATCTCCAAATTTTCGCCCTTGGGGTCACACGCAATGGTGTAAGTCTTGTGTCATTCAGGACCTGCCCAGTGCAGTGAGTGTGAGCAGTGCCTGGCCCAGTGTGAGCAGTGCCTGGCCCAGTGTGAGCAGTGCCTGGCCCTGTACTAGTTTGGTCTACACTATAGACAGTTCAAAGTGCCAGACAACGTTAGTGGAACAGTGTCGAACAAACAACGGGCACTGGTACCCAATTGTGATCTCGATATGTCACATACATGTACATGTAAGTCAAACTGTTCTTAAAAAATACAAACAAGCACGCGCACGCGCACACTTTTTTGTTTTGCAGATCCCCTCTCGTAACCACATTTGTGACCGGAGAACACGCCAACACAAGTCATGAAACCATTTTCTGCGATGTGATGCGTGACACGCAATCCAATGTGACGAGCTACTGCCCCGCTGCTTTCTGCCACTGGCTATCCAGGACCGCCGGAAGCAGTTTTCGATTGGTCCGGTAGTATCATGGCCTTTTATACGTTGTGCATAATATAGCGGGTACACAATGTCACATGACAGCGGGTACACATGTCACATGACCGCCACAGGAGGAAACATGTGTTGGTGGCCAAAATATTGGTCCGGTAAGGGACCGTCCATAATTATCGATCTTTTACTTGTACACGAAGAGAAAAAGTTTCGTTTGTGGATGGGTGGGTCAAGGAGAGTTTCGTTTAGAAAAATATTGATATCTTGCTATCAAGTCAATCTATTTTTCGTTCAGGTGGGGGGGGGGGGGGTGGGTGGGGGAGGGTCCTAACCCAAACTTTTTCGTTTCTTGAAAATTATCGATAGTGCCGGATAGCCCCTAATGACCTGACCGGTTCCGGCGGGCCTGCTATGCTAGTCTGTGTTGTTCTGTGGCATGCCACCACACGGGTGACCCCCACCTCCCCCCCCCCCCCCTCCATCCCCACCTGTACTCTCTTGTACCATCATAATTCAATGTGACGGACCCCACGATAGGCGGTCAGACTTTGGGTCATCCTAATAAAGTTATTATTATATTTTATTATTAATATTGTGAATTGTGAAGAGAGACTGCGTGTGCTCAGGATGGCAGTCGTGAGTCAATCAAGTGTCAAGTTCGGCAAGAAGCAAGTGTTCCTCGTTGGAACAACCAACTTCAGTATTATTGTGGTCGGGCTATTTCAGAATTTTGAATATACTCTGGAGATAGGGTTAGGCGTCTGTGTGCATATTGTCCAAGCGAGCCAGTTCAAGAGTGGTGCCTTGCTTCTTACGGACACACTGCGCCTGGTGCCGCCTTCTCTGCCTCAGCTCAACAAAAGCGTATGTAAGAGCAGCCAATACGGAATACATCAGTATGTAGCCTAGCTTGATACGCATCTGTGGCACGCACTTGCCTATTCGCTGGCTATAGAGGGCGCCGAGCGACAGTCCGAGGCCCTGCCACACTCGGAAGTTTGAGCTGGCCGCCTCTTGGTCTCTGGGAAAGGCAATGCCGATCATGACTGCAGGCACAGCAACACGCACAGCAACACACATACACACACACACACACACACACACACACACACACACACACACACACATACACACACACACACACACACACACACACACACACACCCACCCACACACACACACACACCCACACACACACACACACACACACACACACACACACACACACACACACACACACACACACACACACACACACACACACACACACACACACACACACACACACACACACACAGCAACATGCACAACACAAGTCGGGTGTAAGCGCAATGGGTAAGCATGGTTCTAGCCAAAGGGGGGGAGGGGGGGGGGGAGGAGGGGGCACAGCCCCCCCCCCCCCCCTACTCTGTTTGCGCGCCCCCTGTGAAAAGTGCCGCCCCCTACTCATTTTCCGATTTTCGTGTTTTCATGCAATTCAACGAAAATGCAGTGGGAAGTCGGTACTAGATGGTTCATAAAGGCACATTTGTCTGGGGCGAAGTCGGGGATTCGACCCATACGTTGCATTAGCGTGGCAAGACAGTATTGGAAAGTGGAAAAATGGGATACAGGGTAACTGTATCCCATGCCCGCCCCACTACTAGTTTGACCTGGCTAGAACCATGGGTATGACCACATCATTCGCTACCCGGGAAATCCTCTTTTCCTACGCAGGCTTCTTAGTTCAGTTTAGTTTTATTCCAAGCAACACATGGCTGGGGTAGCCAATGACCACTTTGCGTGGCGATTGCAGGGTTTTATAGCCTACCACATTGTACAAGTACGGTGTTGGCTACTGCATTCCGACCCCTGATTTTCGTCCTCGAGTGCAGCACCCATTCTAGTAATCTCTATTTGGGAAAAATTTGGTTGTGAGCAACACTGGCTCACACTCAAATAACTGCTTTTCACCAGAAAAATATTTTATTTCAACGTTTCGGTCATGAAATAACCATTATCAGGAATGAATTGGGCACACCGGTTAGGATTGCAGTATTTGACAGTGTACAAATTGTGCAGTGTTTATTTTTGCAATGTAAGTGCACCCAGCTGCGGTCGGATTTCAATCGCCCCCACTCCAGCATAGCCAATGGATGCGAAATGTCAACTTGCGGGTCATTTTAGCGAGCCTACTCACCTGTTGTTCGGATGTCAGTATAGAGCATAATGCAATGACGTCAAATACGCCATATATGGGAGCTAGCTGAGTGGCAAAATGCCCATTTACGGGTAAAATGCGTACAGAAACCCTATGTATAGAGAAGCGTTGTGTGGCAAACATACTACATGTATGTGACGTGTATTGCATATCCTCTATAAGGCATGCCTTTGTACAGAACATCATGGTTAGGCTGTCATCACACTACGGAACAAAGCGCTGCGTCTACGGCCACGTAAGGAGTTTTTGGTCGGTTGTCATGATGATCCGTATACGGGGTGAAAACGGGAGCAGAGGAAACGGCAAACGTAGACATGGTAGGGAGAGGTGGGGGAGTATACAAATTTTCGGATGAACGGGCGTATGGCCCTCAGTCTTTTTTTCCAGGCGACCTTGTACGTGCGTTTCAATTCTCAAATTTCTCCAAAAACGTGACTGCGTATACGGGTCAAGATCGGTGCAAGTTTGATGACACGACCGCCCGTTTTGGATTTTTCACACCGTAGACGTAGACGTGAATGGGAGTCAGCGAACGTAGTATGATGACGACCTAACTATAGTTGCGCTCGGTGAAAACCGACCAAAAGTGCATATTTGGCGCCCTCAGCTTGCATGGCGGCCCTTGACGTCCTGGAAGTGGTACGAATGCGGCTGAACGTAACATGGGGAAAATATTAAAGGGGAAGTTAAGGCAAAAATTAAAATTTCACCAGTTGTAGTCTTCGGGTTGCTGAGTCGAATGGTCTTGGTCCGAGAAAGCTGAGACGCTCCCTTCCTACTTGAATCCCAATCGAACTCGCGCACTTCCACCGAAACTGGGTGACTGCGCCCTACGAGATGGGGATTTGTATGCAAAATGTCACTAAAAGCGCCATTTCGTTCTTATAAAAGCACGGATGACCGCGATTGGCCCATATGTTGTAGTCTTTTGGACGCTGAGTCGACTGGTTTTGGTCCGAAAAGGCTGCGATGCAGCGTTCCTCCTTTATTCCCAATCGAACATGGTTGAAGAAGCGGTCACGTGCTCCTGGGTGCCAAAATCACCTGGTCACCACGCCAGCAGGCGACAACTTTCACACCAAGGTTCAACTCGAGTGACAGGACTGCACCCAAAAAAGGTCAAAACAGGCTGTAAGTTGTACCCTGCAGGCACGGTGACCAGGTGACTGGTGTACGCAGGAGCACGTGACCGTTTGTTCAACCATGTTCGATTGGGAATTAGGGGCGAACGCTGCATCGCAGCCTTTTCGGACCAAAACCAGTCGACTCAGCGTCCAAAAGACTACAACATATGGGCCAATCGCGGTCATCCGTGCTTTTATAAGAACGCAATGGCGCTTTTAGTGACATTTTGCATACAAATCCCCATCTAGTAGGGCGCAGTCACCCAGTTTCGGTGGAAGTGCGCGAGTTCGATTGGGATTCAAGTAGGAAGGGAGCGTCTCAGCTTTCTCGGACCAAGACCATTCGACTCAGCACCCCGAAGACTACAACTGGTGAAATTTTAATTTTTGCCTTAACTTCCCCTTTAATACAAATACAATGATGTAATCGGAACTGTCCCAGGGGACCAGCTTTGACCTTCAGGTCGGAATCCAGTGAGCGTAACTAGCTGACTGTATCCTAAAATTTTAGACGAGCAGCTTCCACACAGTCACACGATGCATTCCGGCCGGAAACCCATGATTGAAATCCCTGCTACGTCAGGGGTCGTCGCAAAAGGTTTTTTGTCGTCCTTGTTGTTGTTGTCGTCCCTGTTGTTGTTGTCGTTGTTATTGTTGTTGTTGTTGTTGTTGTTGTTGTTGTTGTTGTTGTTGTTGTTGTTGTTGTTGTTGTTGTTGTTGTTGTTGTTGTTGTTGTTTGAAATCTTTTATTCTCACGACGGCCTGTGGCCAATAAGAGAAATGTTGTTGTTGTTGTTGTTGTTTCAAATCTTTATTCTCACGATAGCCAGTGGCCAATAAGAGATAATAGTGTAAGAAAGGAGAAAGAGTGAGGAAGAATTGGGTGGGCAGGGCCTAGGGGTTAATGACTACTTAAGTGTACGGGCAGGGGTGGTCGCCACACGAGCATACAGAGTTGCGTACTTAAGTGTACGGGCAGGGGTGGTCGCTACACGAGCATACAGAGTTGTGCAACAGCAGGGATATCTCGGATTTGAAGGGAGTACGAGAAGGGATTTCGCGAAGCTGGGTGGGCAGGCAATTAAAGTAATGAAGGGCCTTGTACAGGGGAGAATGGAGACAGCGGTCAGTCCGCGGAGTTGGCAAGTGCCAAGTACGAGAGCGACGTAAATTATACGAAGGTTGCACGTTGCTAGTAGTATGCAGCGAGAGTATATGTGGTGGGGCATAATTGTGGCGCAGAGAATGCGCGAAGAGTATATGTTTAACTTTAAAGCGTGAAAATAATGTTGGCCATTTGATGCGATGCAAAAGGTGGGAGTGTTCTAAGTGTGTGTAAAGGGGAAGGTGGAGACATATTCTGGCGGCTTTCCGCTGGAATCGTTCTAGCCTGTCAAGGGAAGTGTGGGACAACGGTGTGAGAGCATTGCTCGCATATGAGAATATAGGTAGTATGTATGTCTGATAGATGCGAGATAAAGAATCACTGGTGAGTGTAGACCTTAGTCTAAAAAGAATATTGAAAGACTTGAGTGATTTTTTGACTATGTATTCAACATGCTCCGTCCAACGGAGGTCATGCTGAAAGATTATTCCGAGGTGTTTGTGTTTTTGTGCTACGGTAAGCGGACTATTCCTGAGGGTGATTGTTGTTGTTGTTGTTGTTGTTGTTGTTGTATTCTTTTATTTCAATTCGCTCAGGGCACAGGCAATACTGCCTTCTCACCGGAGAGAGGATTCTCCGATTCCTACCAAAACGAAAAATCTACGATATGAATATGTATGAGAAAGATATGAGAAAAATGAATAATGATGATGTCGGATTACGATAGTTTAGTTGTTATGCGAGATTTCCCTGACGATTACAGATAAAGCGCTTCTGGAGGCAAATGTCCAGAAAGGATGCGAGAACAAAAACAAACATTGTTTATGTGGTACTCGGACCCCCTCCCCTCCCTCTGAAATAAACGCAGCTTGCTATGCTCGACGACGAAAATCGCATGCATGTGCATGTACAGTGTATAGCGTTGGTTGATTTAGGGCACCCCTACCCCCCCCCCCCAATGATGTTCGTTTCAGGGACGACAAAAAACCTTTTGCGTCGACCCCTAGCTTAGTCGGGCCTATTAATATAAGGCGATGGGAACGGAACATGATTGTGCAGCATACAAGTCATGTGTATGGCCATGAACACAGGCAGCATATCCGCAACACACTACTCGATGATGCTCTTCCCCATGAGGCTATATAGTCTGTATAAGGAAGTCCATCGTGATGTCACAGTGCACGTTTCACCCATACACACGTGCATATCAAGCCAAACCAGCTTCAGCATCTATACTTGGTAGGATCTATATTTTTTGTTTTGTTTTTGGTCAATGTCGGTGAGCCAGAGCAAGGGTTTCAGCTTGTGACTTATTAGGGCGCTTTAAAACTGAGGAGCTGCTCCTGCGCCTTAAAGGGGAAGTTAAGTCTAAAATCAAATGTTCACCAGTTGTAGTCTTCGGGGTGCTGAGTCGAATGGTCTTGGTCCAAGGAAGCTGAGATGCTCCCTTCCTCCTATAATAATAATAATAATAATAATAATAATAATGACAGTTCGCATTTCACTCATTGCATGAGGTCAACGCATCTGTTAACAATTTCGAGCCAAGCAGCTCTATCAGAAGCAGATTGCACAGCATCCAGAAGCGACAGATTAATGCATTGTAAGTCTTTGTGC